TTTTTTCTGTAGAATACTTTCCAGTTTTGCGGATAGGGTTCTCCAGGAAGAAGATCCATATACAGGAGGAAGAATAGAATTGTAACCAAATTGATAACAATATTGGCCGAGCTCAGTTCGACCAGTGGTTCTTTCATTTTTTAATTGGTTTTTAAGTTTGATATCATTACATAAGGATAGGCCTTCAGTGTAGATTTCAAATATGAGTTCACCAAAAGTGTATTAATGTAGGGGATTTGGCCATTGTGTTTGGCGCGGATTCGGGTTTTTTGGCGAAAAGCGTAGGAAGCCCGACAATAAGATGTTCATTCCAAAAATTTGGATTGGCGTCATGTCTTTGATAGAGTTTGGAGAGAAATATATCTTTATACCATCGAAAAATAGGTCAATGTTGGACATCCTAAATTGATAAGGAGTTCTTTAGATCTTTTGAGAACAATTTGAGTATTGCCAATAAAATGTTGGGTTATAGGAGTAACGAGGGTGGTGACGACATCACTAATTGGTTGTCGCGTTGTCGGATCAAGGATAGGAGTATCATTTGGATCATGTTTAACAACAGTTAAAATAGTTTAACAACAGTTAAAATAGCTTGACGTTGCTCTTGGGTGAGGTAGTTGTCCCACTAGCCTTTTAGCTAGCCAGGAAATCCGGAAATAAGCATGTAGACAATAGTGTCGTCGTTGTTATTGAAGGGATGTTTAGCGAGTATTGCATTGGCATCCATAACCATATGTTGGCCGAGATTAAGGATTTGATATTCGGATTTTCCATCAATAGTCCATTCGCATAAATTGCTATCGGAATTTGAGAAAGAAGTATCGTAATGACGTTCTTCTAATTGTAGATCAATTGGAGTAGGTCTAGGGTAATAATTTTGAGTTGGTGGTTGAGCAGAAACCATTGAGGTTTCTTGTATTTGGCTTGGAGTATTTGATATGAATTGTTCATATAGATTTTGTAATATTGCGTCATCTTAGAGGACATTGATTGTTCCACTATGAGCAGCTAGGTCTTTGCTTTCTCGTTTAGGAGTGGATGGATTAGAAGTATCAACAGTCGGGTAATGAATTGGTTCATTATTATTAAGGACTTTGGTAAGTGTTTCTTTTTGTTTATTAAGTTGGGCTAAGAACTCATTAGAAGGATTAGTAAAAGAATAGGCTAGATAAGGTCGGTTTTGAATTAAAGGAGGTTGTCGGGCTTGATGTGGAGAAATTGAGAGATAACGTTTGTCAACTCGCTCTTCAATTTTAGTAGTTTGTTCACCAATTGTTTGTAGATGTATATTTGTATAATTTAATTGTTCATATACTTGGCCAATGTCATAACTAGTTGATGGGGTTGTTTTAGAAAATTGGGTACCTGCAATGGGTGGTCGGTAATAAGGTTTAGCATAGAAAGAGAAACCAGCACCACAAAGGGTACAAGTCTTACTGGGAGGATGTATAGATTGAATGGGTTTGCCATTATAAGGACAGTCCAGTTTTTTTGGATAACATTGAAATGAACTGATAAGAGTTTTGGGGGAACTATTATTTGGTGACAAGGACAATACTGGTGAAAATACTAGTGGAAAAAATGTATATGTTGTTGTAATTGTTGTAAGGTGAGAAAATATTCAGATCGAATGATTTGTTGCTGAGATGTAGTAAGGTTTTGTTTAAAATAAACTTTATTGTGAGAATTGTAGAGAGCATTATATTTTTTTGAGAGTAATTCATGATTAATTGTGAAATTATTTTGAATAACGTTGATTGATAAGTAATCGATGTCAAAGTCAATATCTTGAGAAAAGCGGCTAAAGTCTACATAATTTGTATGTGAAATTTGGTTAGGTTGCCTGCGAGTAAAATGCAAAGGCATGTTAAGGGAGTGCCGAGGAGGGTGTTGGCGAGTTTGTGCGGGAGTATGATACCTTGTTGAAAGTGGTTGTAAATTGGGTTGTGATTGGGTATGGACCGATCTAGATCTTTGGAAGCAGAGCACCACGGAACCATTTGGATTTTGAAGAATAGTATTTGGATTAGTTTGAGGTTGAGAGCTAAGAGCTAGGACAACGTTAGGAATCATCCATGTATCTTCGTCGTCATCCACATCAGTTTGTAAGACTTCTTTCCAAGTTATAACTTGAGGAACCATAACCTCAGCATTCTCTTAATGAGCATGAAATAAGATAGTGGTTTGTTTAGGGTTTGGAGCAATATATTTGCCGCCAAGGCAAGAAGTGGTCATAGTTTTGAGATAAACTCGATAACAAACCATAATATTGAAAAATGGAGAATCCATTTTGTAATGTTTGGTTTGGATGTTAAGGATAAAATTCTTCAGAATAGTGGGATCTATTAAAGATACCTCGAAATTAGGAAAACATTCAAAGTAAATAGGTCCATGAATTAAACTGGGTTTGATAACACCTGACAATGAATCATCATAATCATGGTGTCGCATATCTCGAAGAGTACATAAGACAGATTTATTAAAATGTAGACGTGTCATACGTTTGATGCCAACTTCGACAAGACCCAAATGTAAAAACTTGAATTTCTTCTGGAATTTAAGAATGGTGTCACGGTTACGTAATTGAAATTTTCGATTGTCTTGTGTTACACATAAAATTTGTTTAACTGTTTTGATTTTGTAAGTTTCTTTGAGTTCAAATTTCTTATCATATAAGCAGTTGATATCTTTGGTGGGTAATTTTCAATTCTTGAGACATGAAGGCTCTTCAACATTTTCTATCTCTAGATCACTTTGATTAATGATAACTAATTTTGTTAAGGAACCTTCGCCACAAACTAGATTAGAGAATGATTTAAATAATCTTGTCATTATAACTATAGCTGTTAACAAGTGATTCTACCTAAATCCAAATAGTCAACAATAGCCTTTTGCCTAACGACCTTACGGGTTACAGACTTCTGCGACTTAGGTGCCACACTGGTGAAATGGAAAGAAATAAAATCAATTCTAATAATTAAAATACTATTTTTTTTTTTGTGATTATATATATATTGTCATTCCTGTGCAGTTATTTTCTCTATTTTTAACTCATCTATATCAGCCTAGGGAGGCGGCCATAGCAAAATTAGGGGGACCATTTTACAAATTTCTCAAACTTCGGAGTTGGTACATTGTTTGCGCTAAATGCCAAATTCTCCCAATTGGGGGCACTCACCCCCTTGACATGTAACTTAGGACCACCCATGGAGGTATTGATTAATTTGATCTGAAAGTGGGAAACAAATACTTCACTTCCCCCAAAACAATAAATGAGTTATTCTCCTAAGTTCATTTAAAGTGTTTGCGAAACCATCACGAACTACATTATGTTGATTAGTTCAAAAATAAATAAATATCAAAATAAAGAGAAAAAAAATTATGTTTTAATAATTAAAATAATTCATTTTATAAAATTCTCAATATATGTTATTCATAATAAAAATTATGTCAATTTAATAATTATAATTTTTTTATTTCAGCACGTTGTCTTTAAAAAAATAGACAACAAATATATATTTGAAAAGAATAGATTGCACACATCCCCATAAAGATTTGAAAAAAATACACTCCACTATGTTTGGTTCCATTTTTTTGAATTATTTTTTCAAAAAGTATTTTGAAAACTCTATTTTGAAAAAGGGTCTTGGTTTGGCTTTAAAAAAAATATGTTATTGTAAATTCAAGTTTTCCTCCAATTTAAGGGGAGAGACAATTTAAAAAAAAAAAATTTATCACATCAAAAAATACTCTCATGTTAGTTTTATATATATATGCACATGTTATATATGTATGAAAATATAATTTAGTTTGTATCCATTTATGGATACATATCCTACCATTAAATGTGTGACTTTATCATAAAATTTTCACTTATTTCAATCACAGAAACGTAATTTGTTTACAAATTGGCATTAAAATACTTTTTACATAGAATTAAATTTTCATAAATATTATACAGAAAATATTTTCTCACAAAATATCGTAACATCAACACAAATATGTGTAACATCGTCAGAAATTGACATAAAAAAAATGTCCAAATTTTTCATATTTGATGTCGCAAAAGTTTGTAAGTTGGCTAAGATTTTTTGTAATGTCAATTTGTAAAAAAAATTACATTTTCTGTGATTAAAATAAATGAAAATTTTATGATAAAATCATTCATTTAATGGTAAAATATATACCCACAAATAGATACATATCAAATTATTATTTTTTTACATATATAGCATGCACATATATATATATATATATATATAACTAATATAGGAGTATTTTTTGACGTGACAAATTTTTTTAAAAAAATTTTCTCTCTCTTTAGGTTGGAGGAAAACTTGAATTTATAATAATATATTTTTTTGAAAACTAAATAAAAAATATTCAAAATAAAGTTTCCAAATCATTTTTTTTAAAAAATAATTCAAAAAAATAAACCAAACATAGTGAATAATTCAGGTAGTTGTGGCTAGTACATACTTTCAAGGGTAGCACGTTGTCGACCGTAGAAATATAACCAAACAAGTACAGATTTCAAAAGTCGTCAACCGTACAGATCTTCAAACTGTGTCTAGTTTTCTGCCAAACAAATCTAAAATTTTCAAAACACAGAATTTTCAAAACAAGAACCAAACAAAATTAGTAGTCTTGTAATGATGCTACACGCATCAATCGATATATTAATTAATGTATTAACTCATATTATAATATTGTAATTTTAAAATTATAAACTCCACTAATTATACAAATTATAAATATTTAAAATCAATAAAATTATACTACATCATTTATTAATATACTAATTAATGTACCAATTAATGCATATAACTTTATTCATTATATTGATTTGATTTTAAAAATAAATAAATAAAAGTGGTGGGTGCTTTCTCACATTTTTCTAATGTTTTAGATCCTGATTTGTGGAGAGATTTATTGAGAAAAATAAATGTAAACGAAAAAGTAAAAAAATTAAATAAAAAATCAACTTCTATTCCATACACTTTTTCCTTCAATTTCCCTCTCCTTTCACAAATTCAAGATTCAGAGATAAACTTAATAATTATGTATACGTGACTTTAAACTCATCTGAAGCTTTGGATAGTGAGCAATAAAAGGGGGGAAATGAAATATAGGCAAAGGTGCATTTGCACAGAAAATAAAAAATAAAAAAATAAAAACAAAAACAAAATATATATATCATTAGAAATGAGTGGAAGTAGTAGTATGTTGAGACACCAAAGTGGCATAGATAAGTTCATTCCAAGCATCAGGGACACCGGGAAGACACCAGTGGCTGCAATCTTGGCGCTTAGTAGAGACCTTCCTCGCACCATCAATGGCAACTTTCTTGCCATAGACGGAGGGGTGGCCATCCTTGCGAAAATTGGTCAACCTCGTAACGTTCATTAGTATCACCGGAACTTGCATTTCCCGTATCACCTCTTGCACTATCTTCATTTTCGGAGGATAGTCCTCAAGGAATGCCCCCTTTAAGATAGGTTCGGTTTCCCCATGGCATGTCCCTCCTGCATCCCAATCTCCACCTCTGTTTCCACATTCCATACATACCACCAAAATATAATCCAAAAAAAAAGGGGGGGAAATTAATTTCTTGGCTGGGAAAATAATAGAAAATGGGATTCCAGCTCATTTTTTGCATGACATTTCATGGATCAATCCATTTTTCAGTAAAATTTGAGTATGAACCCCATTTTAAAATTGTTTCCCTGCCTAAACATAGTTCTTCCTAAATAAAAGTCCATACAAAAAAAATCTGTGTCTCTTTGGGTTTCTTTGAGTTCATTTTAATGTTACATTACCCCAACAATGAAAAACCTAAAACCTTTTTTTTTTCCCTCTCTCTTCTATTAAGTTAGCTTCATGGAAAATCAAACGAAAGTAATGATAGAACATTATTATAAAAAAAAATGAAATGAAATTTAAAATACAAAAGAAAAATACCTGAAATGGGCAGATGAGTACCCACGATACAAGACCAACTTTTTTCTTGGATTTATATTCTTATCGATCCAGTTTGCCCAGGTCTTCAAGGCCCTTGTATAAGCTTCTACTGCATCAAAGCGAGGATAGATATAATCACCTTCTTTGTAGTAATTTTTCCTGTACCGACAAGCCCGTCAATTAGTTCTTCTACCATCCATTTATTTAGATCTAAGTGGAAACTGAGAAAAGTGACTCTTAAGAGTGAATTGTGGAGAAGCATCTTTCTTACTGAAAGAAGAAAGATATATTAGCAGAAAATTAGCAAAATATGCACTAAATAAGGTTTGACAAAGTCTGTCCAACTGCATTATGATTAAACAAAGAAAACGAAGTTCTCAACAAGCAATCCGTGTTATTGTGCTACAAGCACAACAACTATACGTTTTCTGATATCACTTCAAAAAATAAAATGACTCTATTTAAAGGAGCATAAGGCCCCATACAATTTAATGAGGAAAAGGAAAAAAAATAAAAAAACATACCATTTGCCCCCAAACCAAAGCTCAAGGGCTTATATTTCAAGAAAAAACTGACAAAAGGATACCATTCAACAGAAAATGAAAAAAACTTTCATTGAAACAAGAATATCTCAAATAGAGGACGGTGGAGTGCCTACATACCCCCTGGCAGTCTTTCCGTGAGTCCACCAGTGCCCGGTATTGAAGACTAGAATGTCAGCCCTCTTCCATCTTGGAGCTGACTTGTCAATTCGGTCTATAGAAAGAGTCGGATTTGAGTTCCCTCGTGCATTAATCCGAAGCCCTTCCTTGACAAGGAAATGTGAGCGCACGAATTCAACTGTGCAGTCATAATCCTGCCCAAGCAATTTTGGATGTGACTCCAATTTAGAATAAATTTTTCCCAAAGTAATATTCTATGTAAGTTCAGGTGAATTTTAGTTCAAATTGTTGCAGTTGTCTAAACAGGATATTGGCAAAAATTAATGTGAAGCTCAAGCAGTTATAAATCCAAGACTAGAGGTAGAAAACATGCATCCCAAGCCCAATAAATTCCAGTTATAACGGGCAATCTGCCAAGCGTGTCACCACTTTCCTCATCTTCGTACCAAAGGAAGACAAAATGTTGCACTTCAAAAACCTTGATCAGGTGTTCACAATTAAACATGCAAAGCAATGAGGAAGAAACACATTTTATAGTTACCTCAAATTTGAAAATGTAGTAACCTCTTCCCTTGGTTATTTTATAGCCATGAACTTCATACATTTTGCTCTTATTGGGTAAGCCTTCACGAAGAAGGCACAGTAGTGATTCAAACTGGTTCCGATTCATGGAATCTCCAACCAGCATCAACCTTTTTCCTCTCAATCTCACCAAGAAGTCTGTTGCATTGAACCTTTAATAAGGATAACGAGGCAATATGGTCAGTAGTGGAACAAAGAGTACAGTTAATGGTATCATCTATTTTTCAGGAAAGTCACATTACATTACACGTACAACACCTGCATTACTTTCTCTTTGATTGTGAGAACAACAGATCTTATATGAACAAATGTTAAGTAGATACAGGTTTCATGATTTGTGAAACAAGCTGATGTCCACATATATCCATCCGAATTCATAGAAGGAGTTTTTTAATTTTTAATAGAAATAAAAGATTATTTCTTTATTTTTAAATGGTTGTATTCATACAATGGTTATGATTCATTCGATAAATTGTTAAGTCCCTAAGCTACAATGAATATAGTTTATGTATGGGAATGAGATTTACTTAAGAAGAGATGTAAACCAAAAGTTTTTTTACTTTAAATTACTCACAGTTGCTGATAGATATTGGCTATCTATCAGGAAATCTACAACATGATTAACCCCCATGTGATGTGATGGTTAATCTGAACCGTTTAAGTCAAAGACTCTGGGCTATTTAGAATACACTGGTAGATCACCATAATAATCACATAACATAAAATCACTGTCAACCTTAGTGTGAATCATAGATTTTGTTTGAATTTGGGGATTTGGGAACTAATAATTCAAAGAGAATACCTCAAATTTAGACATGATAGCTTAGATATGAATTTCAAGGTGGAATTTGAGAGCTTTACCGTGATAGATTATGATGGATTTGAAATGACAATGTAAAACTACTTATTTGACATCCTTAATACAAGGCATTATAGCTGTACAAAGATCAAAACAAAGTGTGAGAATTATTGTGTATATATGGCATTGTGCATATTAGGAATTAGGCACATATTAGGCAAGATTGTCATATTTCCTTTTTTCAGTCATAGATTTAGGGCTATATAATGTAAACAAACAAACTGAATATATAGACTTTATTCAGAAATCTTACATGGTATCAGAGCCAAGTTCGAAAACCTAAGGTCGCGATCAGTCTTCGCGAACCCTAGCACCGTCGCCTCTCTCAGCCGTCGTCGTCGTTTCAGTAGTCGTCGTCGCCTCTCACGCCGTCGCCTCTCTCAGTCTCCTTCAGCATCGCGATTGATTCGCGATCTATCTCCCTCTCTGGTTCTCTCTGGTTCTACTATAGTTCGTTGGTTTGTCTTGCTACTCTGTTTCTCTCTCTCTCTCTCTCTCTCTCTCTCTCCGTGTGAGATCGTGTCTTTAAGCACTGCTATTTGGTGTTTAAAAATAAAAAATAAAAACTTAGTTATAGTTTGGCCCCTTTGGTTTATTACAATGATGGACACCAAAATTCCAACAATCAAATGTAAACTCACTGGTGCCAATTATACTTATTGGGCCAGTGTTATGAAGAATTTCCTTCTTAGTCAAAAAAAATGGAGCTATGTTTCTGGTTTTATTCCTCATACATCAGATCTGAAACAAGAAGGATATCTGACTTCCTATGATACTTGGGAGTGTGATAATGCCCAAATTCTGACCTAGTTTCATAATTCTGTGGATGACCATATTGGAATGATATTTTCCAAATACAGTACCGCCAAGGAGGTGTGGGAATATTTATTGGGTGTGATCAGCAGTCTAACTTTGCCAAGCGGTATGAGTTGGAAACAACTATTCAGAGTGCTCGTCAGCGAGATCAATCTATTCAAGATTTCTACATTAAGATGACAGGTCTCTGGGATCAATTGGCTCTCATGAAACCATCTAGCCTCAAGGCACTAGATGCTTATGTTGAGTTTCGGGAGCAAGGTCGTTTAGTGCAGTTTTTAACAGCTCTCTCCCCTCAGTATGAAGCTATCCGTGGTGACATCCTTCATCGGTCTCCTCTCCCCTTTATGGATACTATTGTTCGTAAGCTCCTCTCCGAGGAAACCCGCCTTAAAACGACTAGTCAGACTCAGTCACCATCTGTCTTCTTGACTCCTACTTAGCCTCCTCTGTTATCAGCCCCACCATCTCATCAGCTTCAGGGCCATGCAAAGTCCAAGAAGGGGCCACTAGCCTCTGATGAGTGTGCTTTTTGCCATTAGAAGGGCCATTAGAAGAACAACTGTCCCAAGAAGGGCCGTCAGTCTGCTCAGTCTACTCAGTTGTCTCAGCCACAGTCCTGAGGTCCTACTCCGAGTACTTTTCGCCCTCCTACTGCTTATACTGCATTTGCTCCGGCTTCTAATCCTGACTTGGCTTCCTTGAGTGCCCAAATTGCCCAACTTCAGCATTTCTAGTCCACCTCTCAGTCATCTTCCTCTGCCACTGCTTTCACCTCTCTTCATTCAGGTTTGCTTGGGTCCTCTTCAAGTATTCCTTCTTTTGTCTGGCTTTTTTATTATGATGCCTCTCATCATATGACTCATCACTTTTCCTTACTCCAAAATTGTATCCCCCTTCTCGTTCCTATTACTATTAATACTGTTAATGGATCTGGTATGTCTGTCCTATCTATTGGGTCTGTTTTACCCTCTGCCCTGTCTGTTGTTACTATTCCCTCTGTTCTTTATGTTCCTCAACTGTCTGTTAGCTTGCTTTTTATTAGTCAGCTTGATACTTCTAGTTTTGATGTTATCTTTTCTTTTTCTGTCTGTTATGTGCAGGATCTGGTATTTAAGAAGCAGATTGGGACCGAACGTAGAGTTGGAAATCTCTATGTGGTGGAAAGCCTCCATCTTCCTCTGTCTACCTCCCCCGTTGCACTTTCATGTTTTCAGTTAGATTCTCAGTCGAGTCAGTTTTATTTATGGAATTCTCGCTTAGGTCATTTGTCTGTTAACCGCTTGCGGTCTTTAGTTCAGTCAGGATTGTTAGGTACAGTTTCTCCTAGTCAAATTAATGAGTGTCGAATATGTAAACTTGCTAAAATGACTGCTTTACCTTTTAATAACAGTACTTCTATTTCTGCTTCCCCTTTTTCTCTTGTCCATACTGATGTCTGGACACCTTCTCCTGTTCTCACTAAAAGAGGTTCTACGTACCATGTGTCATTCGTTGATGATTGTACCCGCTATACCTAGGTTTATCTTATAGCTCATAAATCTGACTTCTATCAAATATATCGTACCTTTTAGTCTACGATCACTACACAGTTTGGGGCCACAATTAAAATACTTCGGTCTGACTTGGGTGGGAAATACTTTAAAACTGAATTTTGTGAGTATTTTGCCAAATTGGGCACCATTCACCAAACCTCCTGCACTGATACCCCTGCTCAAAATGGTCGAGCTGAGCGTAAACACCGTCATCTCCTTGAGACAACTCGATCTCTCCTTCTCTCTGCCTCTGTTCCGGCACCATTCGGGGGTAAGGCAGTTCTTACTGCTGCTTTCCTCCTTAATCGCATGCCGACTCCCCTACTCTCCGGTCACTCCCCTTGTAACGCTCTGTATTCCCAACCTCCTAATTATTCCCTCTTATATGTCTTTGGGTCTGCTTGTTTTGTCCTCCTTCCCCGTAAAGATCGAACCAAACTCAGTGCCTGGTCTGTCTTGTGTGTCTTTTTGGGCTACAATTTTCCTCAGAAAGGCTACTGCTATTACGACCCTGTCTCTCGTCGCCTCTATGTCTCCCGTCATGTTGCCTTTCTTGAACGTCTGTCTCACTTTCAGCTCCACCCTTTCACTGCTCCTGTTTCCAAAGAGGATTTGGTTCACATTGACTCATTTTCTTCTACGGTCCCATCAGATGAGTATATCGCCACTGTTCCTCCTAAGGCCATTCTTACTTCTCCATCTACGTCACCTATGGCTCCTTCTTCTCATTTGGCTACTTCTTCCCCTCCGTTGTTGGTTTATTCTCGTCACAAGGTTTTCCCACCACTAGTTGTCGTTACTCCTATTGCTGCTCCTTCTGCTTCTAACGACTCTGATCCTGCTGCACACCGCTATCCTCGTGAGCGTCATCCTCTAAACAGGTTGGGTTGATCTAATACATGTTTTCTGCTTCCTATCATACTTTTTTGTCTGCTATTCACTCTTTGTCAGAACCTGTCTTACAAGAAGGCCTGTCAGGATCCTCATTGGGTTCAAGCTATGGAGAATAAGTTGTCTGCTTTACAGAAAACTAGTACTTGAGAGTTGATTCCTTTGCCTGCTGGTAAGAATCTAGTTGGTTGCAAATGGGTCTACAAAGTCAAGACTCATTCTGATAGTTCTCTTAAGCGCTACAAAGCTCGTCTAGTTGCCAAAGGTTTCTCACAGGAGTATGATATTGATTATGAGGAAACCTTCACTCCTGTTGCCAAGATGACTACTGTCCATACTTTGATCTCTGTCGTTGCTGTTCATTCTTGACCTCTTTATCAGATGGATGTTAAGAATGGTTTTCTTAATGGCCATCTCACTGAGAAGGTTTACATGCGTCCTTAGGGCCTTCACCATTCTTCTAGACAAGTTTCGGCGTGCTCTGTATGGTCTAAAGTAGTCTCCTTGTGTTTGGTATGATCACTTTCAGACTGCTGTTACTGAGCTTAGGTTTCATCCTTGTGCCCAGGACTCTGCTTTATTTCTTCTCCGCACCTCTGCTGGATTTGTTACGTTGTTACTGTATGTGGATGATATGATCATCATTCGTTCTGACTCTTCTGCTATATCTGAGGTCAAGCAACATCTTTTCCGTACCTTTGAAATGAAAGATCTCGGCCCATTGCGGTATTTCATTGGTATTGAGGTAGCTTCTTCTCCCAAGGGCTACTTTCTCTCTCAGGCCAAGTATGCCAATGAGGTTATTCATTGTGGCGGTCTTGCTGACACTAAGATTTCTGATACCCCAATTGAGCTTAACATAAAGCTCAACACTACTTATGGTGTTCTTCTGGACAATCCTACTCTATATCGAGAGTTCGTGAGTTGCTTAGTCTATCTAACGATTACTCATCCTGTTGCCAAGATGACTACTGTCCATACTTTGATCTCTGTCGTTGTTATTCGTTCTTGGCCTCTTTATCAGATGGATGTCAAGAATAGTTTTCTTAATGGCCATCTCATTGAGAAGGTTTACATGCGTCCTCAGGGCCTTCACCATTCTTCTAGACAAGTTTCGGCGTGCTCTGTATGGTCTAAAGTAGTCTCCTTGTGCTTGGTATAATCACTTTCAGACTACTGTTACTGAACTTAAGTTTCATCCTTGTGCCCAGGACTCTGCTTTATTTCTTCTCCACACCTCTGCTGGATTTGTTACATTGTTACTGTATGTGGATGATATGATCATCATTCGTTCTGACTCTTCTGCTATATCTGAGGTCAAGCAGCATCTTTTCCGCACGTTTGAAATGAAAGATCTTGGCCCATTGCGGTATTTCATTGGTATTGAGGTAGCTTCTTCTCCCAAGGGCTACTTTCTCTCTCAAGCCAAGTATGCCAATGAGGTTATTCATCGTGGCGGTCTTACTGACACTAAGATTTCTAATACCCCAATTGAGCTTAACGTAAAGCTCAACACTACTGATGGTGTTCTTCTGGACAACCCTACTCTATATCTAGAGTTCGTGAGTTGCTTAGTCTATCTGACAATTACTCATCCTGATTTTGCCTATGCTGTTTATGTGGTTAGCCAGTTTGTCTCTGCTCCTCACTCCACACATTAGGCTACCTTGGTTCAGATTCTTCGCTATCTCCGAGGTACTATATTTCAAGGTTTACTGCTGTCCTCTACTTCTTCTCTGGATTTGGTGGCCTATGTTGATTCTGATTGGGCCGGTGATATTACTGATCGCAAGTCCACGTCTGGTTTCTGTATGTTTCTTGGCAATTCCTCGATCTATTGGAAAAACAAGAAACAAACTGATGTTGCTCGCTCTATTGCCGAAGCTGAGTATCGTGCTATGGCTCATGCCACTGCTAACGTTGTCTGGCTTCGTTGTCTTCTCACTGACTTTGGCGTCCCTCAGTCTTCTCCGGCCTCTCTCTATTGTGACAACCGCAGTGCTATTCAGATTACCCACAATACTGTCTTCCATGAACGTACAAAACACATTGAGATTGATTGTCACTTTGTCCGACAGCATATGCAATCTGGCTCTATCTCGCTTCCTTTTGTCTCTACAACTTTGCAACTTGCAGACTTCTTCACCAAGACTCACACTACCACTCGGTTTCAATTTCTTCCTAACAAACTCTCAATGTTTTCTGCTAAAACACCTTGAGTTGGAGCGGGGGTGTGAGAATTATTGTGTATATATGGCATTGTGTATATTAGGAATTACGCACGTATTAGGCAAGATTGTTGTATTTCCTTTTTTCAGTCATAGATTTAGGGCTATATAATGTAAACAAACAAATTGAATATATAGACTTTATTCAGAAATCTTACACAAAGTACTTCTCTTGTTACTCTACTCTATCTTTCCCTTTAGTTTCTCAATCTATCTATAGTAGCCAACTCTCCTATAATTTTACAAGTTTTAACCTCAAATCCCTTCTTTTAAAATATTTCTATCCAAATTAAACCTTATAGTGTATAATGTAATGAAATTTTAATCCTAAGAACATGATGGACACAAGTTCCTAGCATAGGTCACTTTGGCTTGCCAATAAGTGGGTATTTACTTGAACAAACCTCGGTATATTGGGTGGTCTATGCTAAGGTTGTGGGAACATTCTTTTCAAGATTGAATTCACCAATTTTGTAACAATAAACTATAATGTGCCCTTAAATTAGTTCACTAGATTAATCATTAGAATCTAGTACTAATCATTCTTACGAAAAAGTTCATTAAAATTTGATATGTGAGTAAAAGATGGTAATGAATGTAAGAAGTATGCATTGGTGAGTCAATAAATATGTTTTACTCCGATAGCTACTTACGGACATTAGTTGGTGGAGGGGTTTACATTGTGGTGTTATGGAGAAAACCCGATGAACAGGACTGTGACTTGGCCGATCAAACCTATATCCTTGGGTTCGATCCAGCAAGTGATTCCCATCCCGAAACAGTGAACTGCAAGTTATTGGATCATTTTTATTCTTATGAGATGAGTGTGAAAGAGACATACAAGGAAGCCTAGAGGTCCAATATAAGCTTTACATAGGAGTGGACTAAATAACCCTATTGAAGCATATGGTGGCTGGCCCTATATGTATCAGAAACATTAACTGCTCCTATAGTGTGAAATTAAGAGTCTAGAGAGGGAATTATGAGTAATGTAGAGATCTAATATTTAGCTCAAGCACAGCAACTTTCCACCATGTGGAGAATTAATTTACAATTTTATTTATTAGTTTCTTTTACAATTCAATATTTACAATGTATTGATTTCTCTCTTATCTTGTTTGGTTAAGCTAAATAAAAGAAAATAGAAGACATGACATCATGTTATATTACCAAATTAATCTTTTATAGACGTTAGTCTTCTTATTTCTTCTATATCTAAAATGGTAGTTTTGGTATTATGACAAAATAGTATTTAGTTCTGTTTGGATGAGATGATTTGGTGAAAAATGATGAGAAAGATTTTTTTTTTTTCCCTTCTCATGTTTGGCTTATAAGTTGAGTGAGAAATGTTGAGAAAGGATGAGAAATGTTGAGAAATGAAACTCTCTTACTAAGCCTATTTCATTTCTCACCAAAAGTGATGAGATTTGGTGAGAAACAAGTTAATTAGTTGTATCATTCCAAAAAAAAAAAATTGATTAGTTGTAAAATATTTATAGTACCGAGATTGCCCTTAAAATATAAAAGAAGAAATCGCACTCATATCCCTTTCTCACATGCTTTACTTTCATCCAAACATGATCGTGAGAAAATACAATCATTTCTTTCTTTTTCTTTTCTCACCCTATGTCCAAACAGAGTGTCAAAGTATGGGTTATGAGAGAAATTAGTTTCTCTCCATTGCTTCTCATTTCACTCCATTTCTCTCCTCTTTGCTTATCCAAACGAGTGATATGGACCAAGAGAAATGCATTTCTTTTCTTTTCTTTAGCATTATACTAAGTAGGCTTAAATCAATCAAAATTAGAGTTGTAAAAAGCTATAGCCTTTGTGTGATTAAAACAACAATAATCATAATTAAGAAGAAAAAGAACAAGAAGAGGGATTTGAACACACAACCTGGGAAGCTCACAACCATGGGGCTTCCACCGCCATTTCAGATAATCAGAGTCTTTCCTTCCATTGTTTTGGCAATCATAAGCCTCATCAACATAAGGACAAGACCCAGGTTTGTAAATTGGGTAATCTTCCTCATCTCTCACCCAATTTCCCACATACAGATCACAAGAAATCTTCCCCCATTCTTCAAACCTTTCTTCCACCACTGATGATACATCGCCCCCATTCTTCCCACTATCTCCTCCTTCAACCACTGTGATTGAGCTAACATTTTCAAATTCCTTGATGGGTAATTGAGTATCTTCATCTTCAAACCCTCCCGAATCAACAATGGAGTCCGAAGATGAATTGGAAAGAGAGGGTGGTGGTGAGGAGTAGATAGAGAGAGTGGTGGGTTGGAGAAATCGTTTGGTGAAGGAGATTAAGAGGGTGATGACGAACAAGGAAAGGAATGAGAGGATCGAAAGCGTGAAAAGGGTTTTGTTCTTGTTCTTATTCTTGATGATTGTGGTGGTTGTCGTACTAGAAGTTGCCATTTGAGATTGGGGATCGCATGTTCTTTTGTGGACTGTAGTGATAAAAAAAGTGTTTGGACGGAGAGAAAGTTGGGACGAGAGAGTAAATGGAGAATGAATTTTGTTAAATGAGTGGCATTGTCCTTGGGATTAGTGAGAGTGTGTTTAATAACTCACTAGCAGACAGAATAGAATAAAAAATAGGAGTGTATATTTTAAAATTTATAAAAATATATATTCTTCATGCTTATTATTTTGGATAAATTGAAAATAGATAAATTATACTGATATCTCCCTAGCAGACAGAATAGAATAAAAAATAGGAGTGTATATTTTAAAATTTATAAAAATATATATTCTTCATGTTTATTATTTTGGATAAATTGAAAATAGATAAATTATACTGATATCTCTGAAGTTTTTATTTAATATAGATCTTTTTCACATTTGAAAAAATTAAATTTCCCTCTCTAAGATTTAGTAATCTCATTATAAATTGTCATCTGAATTGTTGATATCATGCCCTGAAATTTTCTAAATAACCATCTTATTTTTTTTTTTCACTGTTTCTTCTTCCTATCGTCATCACTACATTTCATAACTTTCCATCATTAAATTACATCTACACATATTCTTATTGAGTGATGATATACAAATATAGAATTTTATATAGAATTTTCAAATATAATGATATAGCTTAATGGTAACATTTCTCTTTAAAACAAAATACTCATAAACATAATTCATATTTACAACAGTAGCACTATCCCAACATTTTTATGATATTTTTTTGTATAAATTTTTAAATATGAATATAATTTTTCACTTTTGTCCCACATGTTGTGTAAGTCCTCAGGATATGCAGTTAACAGATATAGGGGTTCCCAGAGAAGGTGTGAGCGAACACATAATATGTGAAAATATGATCATCCAAGAATTCAAAATTTTGAATTACTCTACAGAATCATAATGAGTCGATTATTTCGAAATAACTCTTCAATCAGCTCTAGATCTACAACTTTAGCTCTTATACCTGATACAGTCATAAATGAAAAAGAACATGAGTTTCAAGATTTAAAAATATATTTAAGTTGGAATATCCCAAAAGTCCTTAAAAAAGAAATATATAAAACCAATTGTTTGAAATCCTCTTTAATATCGATTTACATGTTAAAACCATTGAACAAGTTTATGCTTTAACAAAATTCAAGAAACATGTCAATTATTAAGTAAAGAATCAATCAAAAAACATTTATCCACTGGTCATAATTTTATTCATATCGATTTAATTCAAGTTGCAGTCAAACCCTTAACTATGCAGGGCCATAATTCTTCTGTTTTATTATGTTTAAGAGATGCTCAGTTTATTAAATATTATGATAGTTTAATAGGCATGATGGAATCCGGTCTCCACAAAGAACCTGTGCATTTTAATTGCTTTCCCGATTTTACTTTGAGTCTTCGTGATCCTCACATATTAAAAGCTTTAACCCTAAACCTCCAAATTTCCGGTGCCTTTACTAAAATGCTTGGAGGTGCACACTCTATTGCTTTAATATATCGAATTTATTACAAGTGTATTAAAACTAATCTTAATGTCCATGCCTTAGTTAAAAGTCCCAAAGATAAAACCCTACTCATACAAAGTAGTACTAATTATGCTAATATAGATGTTCCTACAACTATTTGTTGGCAAGGCGTAACTCTACCTTATAATTGGACCACAGTCAATGAAAAATATGTTCACCCACACTAATCTGATAGTCATGATGTCCGAAAAATCTAACAAAATGATGATGGTTTTGTTCATATACGTTTTAATCGCCCAACTTATAGTCAATCTTGTCGGCATAGTACATCTAGTATCCCTACTGACGACGATGAAATTTTTAGTACTCCTTTATTTACATGAAAAGATAGAAAACTTTAAATAGGTCAACCTTTACATACTACTAATAGAAAATTAAAAGGAATTTGGTTTGTGTTTCTCAAAAAATTTTGAAAAAAATTCTCTACAAATAAGTTTTCAAAAGTAATCAAACCAAACAAATTTTCCCAAATTTTTTTTCCAAAACTTGTTTGGTTTACAAGTTTTCCAAACAAATCTCTCTCACACACATCAAATCAATCACTTTTTCCAAAACTCTCTCTCAAAATAATTTTTCAAAACATCTTTTGAAAAAAAACCAAACCAAATAAATTTTCGTACTTTTTATCTCAAAACATGTTTCTCAAATACAAACCAAACAAGCCCAATACATCTCAAGATTCACCCACTCAAACTGATTTTGAAGTAGTTCCCCATGTTAATCCACAATCATTAACTCTTAGTAAACCTTTTACTCCAAATTTTAATAAACTTCATTCTGAATTTAAATGTAAAAGCAATAAATTAAAACGACATATTTATCGAAATACTTATAGTGAACAACAACAATCCAAAATAATTAAGAAATAGTATAAATTTATAAATGAGATTGATACTGAAGTCAATTTCTTTGACGATCTTGAAAATTATTATCAAAAATTAAATACTATTACAAAAACTAAATGGCAAACTTCCCCTAATACTATTGTTTCTTCTAGTCACCCTCCTTTAGAAACCATCCTTATTGAACATAAAGGATCGCTTGTACATGCTTCTCTTTTTAAACTTCCTGGTGATAAATCTGAAATTAAAAAAAACTAATTGAACAAAATAATTATACAAATCAATGTTCAAAAACTATTGATAAACAATTAGATAAAATTGAAATTCATTTTGATGATTACTCAATTAGCAATATATCAAATAATAAACATTTAGACAAACCTCTTACTAATCTTCCTAGCACTAGGAAAAGGTTAAGTCTAGTTACTCAAGACACTAATATTGTTGAAGCTATTGAACAATTATTTACTAAGTTATCTACCCCTTTTAGCGAAAAAGGAATTACTGTCTTAATACAACAACCATCTTTAGAATTTACTAGTGACTCCGACATATCTACTAATGAGATTAGTCAATTAGCACAACAATTTCAAACTACTCATCTTAATCGAATAGTACATCCGAAAATTAATCCTACTACTCTTACAAAAAATTGGTATAATAAACCAACTCCACCTGATCTTCAATTTGAAGAAACTAATATTAGTAATTAATTTTCTGTTTCTGCCAAAAAATTATATGAATAGAATATAGATGGTCTTACTGAAAATCAAATTCTGTAAAAGTTAAATCACATGTCTATGGTAGGTAATAGTTATATTAGTAACTATCCTGACTACACTCAACCTGAAATTGTCTTTTTACTTACCTCTGGTTTTACTGGTATGCTTAAATTTTGGTGGGACAAATATCTCACTCAGGATATGCGTGAAGATATTCAAAACGCAGTCCAAGTTGATGAAAATGACTTCCCAATATTTAATGAAAACATAGGAACAAGTAAACTTGATAGCATTAATACTTCAATATTTACCATAATCAAACATTTTATTGGAACACCTACTAATATTCATTCTCGCATCCATGATCAACTTAGTAATTTAACTTTCCCTAACATTAAGTGATTTTCGTTGGTATAAAGATGTTTTTACTTCTAAAGTTATGCTTGAAGATGATTGCACTAAATCATTTTGGAAAGAAAAATTTATTAATAGATTATCTAGTCTTTTTGCGCATAAAATTAGGGATGTCCTTAGTCAACCTACTGGTATTATTGAATATGATAACCTAACCTATGGTGATATAATTAGTACTATTCAGAAAGAAGGATTAAAAATATGTATTGACATGAAACTTAGTCAAAAAGCAACTAGAGATAAACATAAGGCTAAATATGAATTAGGTAACTTCTGCGAACAACATGGTCTAACCCCTATAGCCCTATCACGTAAAAAACATAAGAAAAATAAAACTTTCCCAAACCATATAAGAAATATCGTAAAAAAACATTCATCCTCTAAATCACCTGAGCAATATTATGCTAAACCTAACAAGAAATATCACAAGAAAACAAAAAATTTTAAGAAGTCAAAAGCTACCCAAGATGTTACTTGTCACAATTGTGGTAAAAATGGTCATTATTCTAACAAATGTAAAGCTAAAGCCAACCTAAAGAACAAACTTAACCAATTACACATTACTGAAGAAAATCAACGTCAAATATTTGAAATATTCAACCTAACTAATACTCTGAATCACTCTCCTCATCCATCTAGTACCTTATCAAGTGATCCTAATCTATCTAGTAGTACTTCTGACTATTATTCTCCCACTGATAATACTGATGATGATCCAATTGAACTAGGATGTAATGATAACTGCTATAAACAAGTCAATGTACTTAGTAAATCTTAGTAAGAAGAAGATTCATTAATTGAATTAATTAGTAAATTAGACAATCTTGACTTGAAAAGAAAATATACTAATAAATTAAAATCTTTACTAATGAATAAAGATTAAAAAAAAAACTCATCAAGATAAACCAATTATCAGTTTAACTTTTACTTTAAAAAGATTTAAAAAAGCTCACCATAAAGAAGCAATCTTACAAGATTTACAAAAAAAAAAATTAACCAAATTAAATTAACTATTAAAGAATTAAAAACTAAAGACAAATCATTAGAAGAAGAAATTGCAATATTAAAAATCAATAAAAGTCTTAATGATTTTCAAAATAATAATGATATTTCCTCTGATGAATCTAGTTCTAGTCACGATCCCAACCATGTCATCTTTGACAATCGATCAACTAAATCTCATCATGATAGTAATAATCACGATGACAGTAATCATTTAAATATTACTAATAGAATTAATATTCAAAAAATGGCATTCGAAAGTCAAGTTAGTTATTAATGATTTTGAAATAGAAGGCATAGCCCTAATTGATTACTACTATGAAATCATAAATAGATCACACTTTTTTTGTGTGATGTATATTATTTAATAGCATCTTTTAAGTTTTATTAAAATGTGATCTTTGGGATTGTGATTAAAAGGGGTCATTTTTAATCACACTCCTAAAGTGTCATTAAAAGATGGTTCCATCACATGTTTTGTGTGTGATAATAAATAGTTAGATCACATTTTTTAAGTGTGATTAATAATATTTAGATTACATCTTTTAAGTGTGATTAATAACATTTATATCACATCTT